GAGGGGAGACCTGATTACAGCCTACAAATACTTGAGAAGGGATGGTGGGGAGGTGGGGGAAGGACTCTTTACGTTAGTGATGGGTGACAGAACAAGAGGAAATGGGTATAAGCTTAGTCAGGGGAGATTCAGGTTGGATGTTAGAAAGTATTTCTTCTCTGAAAGGGTTGTCAGCCACTGGAATAGGCTGCCCAGAGAGTCCCATGGTTGAGTCCCCATCCCTGGATGTGTTTACGAATAGGGTGGATGATCTACTTAGGGATATGGTTTAATGGGGATTAGGGACGGTTGGACTCGATGATCTCTAAGGTCTTTTCCAACCTAGAAATCTATGAATCTATGAATCATATTCCCAAGGAGCATCAACAAAGAAAAAATATTGTTATCAAGAGCAGCAGCTCTGGCTTCACCTTTGCTCATGTACTCCGTGACAATATAGATAGGTTCTTCAGATACCACAGCATAAAGTTGGACCAGTTTGTCATGTTTTAGCTTCTTCATGATTTGAGCTTCCTCTAAGAAGGATTCTGGAGACATAGTGCCAGGCTTCAGGGTCTTGATAGCCACTTTAGTATTTCCATTCCACGTACCTACAAGCACAGATACTTAGTTAGATTAAACAACTTCTGCTCCTTTTTCTGCCTGATGCCTAATGTAACCAAGGAATAAACTAGCAAGGACACTTAATATATTTTTTTTTTAAAGTGTGGTTTCCCATGTTGCCTTATCGTTATATTCCTCCCACGCCTCCCTCATATTTTAGTCTTTTTCTATTATATTGAAAAATAATACTCCCATTGGCACTGGGGCACAATTGCTGTTGTCCTACTCAGACAATGCTTCCACTGATGTCCACAGAAACCTTCTCTGAGTAAGAAATGCAGGACTGCTGAAACCCACGTTCATGTATTCCCTTGCTAAAGAGTAATTGCTACAGACAACACAGGCTCCAGTCACAGATTTGGATAACAAAACTGGTTAAACTCAGAACTTTCTTTTTGCAAGACATTTTAACATTTTGGTTTTGTTCTGTTTTGCTTTTGTCAGAGGATAAAAAATATTGTAAGAAAAATTTCCAAGAAAAATTCTGAAACAATCTCATGTTAGGTACACAGGTGTGTTTCCAAATCAAAATGCGTATTTTCCTTCCCTTCCTCATCTCCAGGAGCTCAGTAGCTGCTAATTGAAAAGGAGGTGTTTCCTATCCACTTCCCTTTGTTCTTTACTTGTGGTCAGCACTGAAATGGACAAGTTACATCATTTTTCAGCCATCATCTACCAAGCCTTCTGTAACACCTGAAAGCCTGCACGAGGGGCATGAAGTGGGAGGAGGAGAATACCAGGCTTGCCTGTGACAAGCTGAGAGCAACTGAAGGGCAGCAGAAAGGAATTCCAGACACTCCAGCCAGGAAGTCAGCTTCATTGAGAGCCCAATTTAAATGCCTCTATGCAAATGCACGTAACATGGGGAATAAATAAGAGGAATTAGAGACGTGCACATGCCTGCAGGGCTATGATGTTATCGGCATTTCGGAGATGTCGTGGGATGAATCCTGTGACTGGAGTGCTGGAATGGAAGGATCCAGGCTCTTTAGGAAGGACAGGCAGGGGAGATGAGGAGGAGATGTCGCCCTCTATGTCAAAGACCAGCTGGAGTGCGTGGAGCTGCACCTGGGGATGGATGAGGAGCTGACCGAGAGTTTATGGATTAGGATTAAAGGGAGGGCAGGGACAGGGGACATAGTAGTAGGGGTCTGCTACAGGCCACCTGACCGAGAAGACTGAGCAGATGAGGCCCGCTATAGACAAATAGGAGCAGCCTCACATTCATGAGCCCTGGTCCTCATGGAGGACTTCAACCACCCCGATATCTGTTGGAGGGACACACAGCAGGGCGCAAGCAATCCAGGAGGTTCCTGGAATGTGTTAATGATAACTTCCTTCTCCAAGTGATAGAGCAACCAATGAGGAGAGGTGCTATGCTGGACCTTGTTCTCATGAACAAGGAGGAGCTGGTGGGGAATGTGAAGCTCAAGGGCAGCCTTGGCTGCAGTGACCATGAAATGGTGAAGTTCAAGATCCCTAGGGTAGTGAGGAGGGAGCACAGCAAGCTCACTACCCTGGCATTCAGGAGAGCAGACTTGGGCCTCTTCAGGGATCTGCTTGGTAGAGTACCATGAGATAGAGCCCTGGAGGGAAGGAGGGCCCAAGAAAGCTGGTTAATATTCAAAGATCTCAGGAGCAGTGCATCCCAAGAAAGAGGAAGTCAGGCAAAAACATGACGAGGTGGGACTGTATGAACAAGCTCCTGGACAAACTCAAGCACAAAAGGGAAGCCTACAGAGGGTGGAAGCAAGGACAGGTAGCTTGGGAGGAATACAGAGAAATTGTCTGAGCAGCTAGGGATCAGGTTAGGAAAGCTAAAGCCCTGGCAGAATTAAATCTGGCCAGGGACATCAAGGGTAACAAGAAAAGCTTCTATAGGTACATCAGTGATAAAAGGAGGAATACAGGAAATGTGGACCCTTTCTGGAAGGAAACAAGAAACCTGGTTACCCAGGATATGGAGAAGGCCTCAACAAATTTTTTGCCTCAGTCTTCACTGGCAAGTGCTCCACCCACACTGCCCAAGTCACAGAAGGCAAAGGCAGGAACTGGGAGAATGAAGAACCGCCCACTGTAGGACAACATCATGTTTGAGACCATCTAAGGAACCTGAAGGTGCACAAGTCCATGGCACCTGATGAGATGCATTCGTGGGTTCTGAGGGAACTGGCAGATGAAGTTGCTAAGCCACTATCCATCATATTTAAGAAGTTGTGGCAGTCTGGTGAAGTTCCCACCAACTGGAAAAGGGGAAGCATAACCACCATTTTTAAAAAAGGAAGACCCGGGGAACTACGAGCCAGTCAGTCTCACCTCTGTGCCTGGCAAGATCATTGAGCAGATCCTCCTGGAAACTGTGCTAAGGCACATAGAAAAAAAAAAGGAGGTGATTGGTGACAGCCAACATGGCTTCACTAAGGGCAAATTGTACCTGACAAATGTGGTAGCTGCCTACAATGGGGTTACAATATTGATAGATAAGGGAAGAGCAACTGATGTCATCTACCTGGACTTGTTCAAAGCATTTGACACTGTTCTGCGTGACATCCAAGTCTCTAAATTGGAAAGACATGGCTTTGATAGACAGACCACTTGGTGGATAAGGAATTGGCTGGATGGTCGCACTCAAAGAGTTGTGGTCAACAGCTCGATGTGCAAGTGGAGACCAGTGACGAATGGTGTTCCTCTGGGGTTGGTATTGGGTCCTGCTGTTTAACATCTTTGTCAGCAACATGGATGGTGGGATTGAGTGCACCCTCAGCAAGTTTCCTGATGACACCAAACTGTGTGCTGTGGTCAACATGCTGGAGGGAAGGGATGCCATCCAGAGAGACATTGACAAGCTTGCCAGGTGGGCCCATGCGAACCTCATAAAGTTCAAAAAGGTCAAGTACAAGGTCCTGCACATGAGTCAAGGCAAGGACAAGTACAGGCTGGGCAGAGAATGGATTGAGAGCAGCCCTGAGGAAAAGGACTTGGGAGTGCTGGTGGATGAGAAGCTCAACATGAGCCGGCAATGTGCGCTGGCAGCCCAGAAAGCCAACCGTATCCTGGGCTGCATCAAAAGGAGCGTGGCCAGCAGACCGAGGAAGGTGATTCTGCCCCTCTACTCTGCTCTCATGAGACCCCACCTGGAGTACTGTGTTCAACTCTGGGGCCCTCAACATAAGAAAGACATGGAGCTGTTGGAGCAGATCCAGAGGAGGGCCATGAAGATGCTCAGAGGGCTAGAGCACCTCTCCTACGAAGACAGGCTGAGAGAGTTGGGGTTCTTCAGCCTGGAGAAGAGAAGGCTCCAGGGAGGCCTTCTAGCAGCCTTCCAGTACCTAAAGGGGGCCTACAAGAAAGCTGGAGAGGGACTTTTTACAAGGGCATGCAGTGATAGGACAAGGGGTAATGGCTTTACACTGAAAAAGGGTAGATTTAGATTAGACATAAGGAAGAAATGTTTAACAATGAGGGTGGTGAAACACTGGAACAGGTTGCCCTTGGATGCGCAAGTTGTGGATGCGCCATCCCTGGAGGTGTTCCAAGGCCAGGCTGGATGAGGCTTTGAGCAATGTGATTTTGCGCCATGACAGAGGGGTTGGAACTGGATGATCTTTAAGGTCCCATCCAACCCAAACCATTCTATGATTCTGTGATTCTAAGGAAAAACTGGGGAAAGGTGACTCAGGGCATTCGACAAGAGGTGGGGCTTCATTCAGGTATTTGCAAGGGGGAGAAGGAAGACTGGAAAAAAACAAAACACCTATCTGTGTTAACAGTTTTTTGGGGGGATGGAGACTGGGGAAGGGAAAGGAAGGAAAATGAAAATGGACAGAGATATCACTTTCCTAGTGCCTTCTGGTTGTCTCTTGCCTATACTTGCCAGAACCCTGCTCCAGAGCTGGGGATGAAATGTTTTTGAATGGAACCTGTGATCTGTGATCTGCTGTGTGTTAAGGCATAACAATACTAAATGACTTCAGGAATTAACCACATTGGGTAGAAATTACTCCTCTGCACTTGAGCATGAGGATAGCAGAAGATCTACAAAGCTCGTGAAGATTTAGACTCAGATCTAGTTTCTATAACTTAAGATGTCATCAAAAAAGGTAATGTGTAAAATAAGCCTGGTTTGTCTTTGTTAAAAGCACATTAACAGTTACAAAGGCTCAGCTGCTGCATGGGAATTGGTTAAGCCAAAATAACTTCATCATGAGCTTTTGCAAGCTGCCAGAGCATAGAATGAGCTGGACTGTTTTCTGTGCAGGTGGTCAGGTCCCAGCTGCCACCTTGCCTAGCCGAGGGCGGGGGAGGAGCGGTGACGGAGCCACAGCCTGTGTCGTCCCTCGCTTGCAGGGCAATCCCCGCAGCAACACACAGCTGTGTCTGAGAGGGACTTGAGGCACATATTAGCCCAAGGGTGCTGTGCAAGTTCGAGTTTTGCTATGCCTTGGTTTTCTTCTGCCAGCTCAGTGCCAGGTGCTGTCACTCTTGCCAGCGGTGGAGTAATGTCTTTTGAGTTTCTTCCACCGCTACCCTAGCACATTTATGGAGGGCTCTTGAGGTCTTAGCTTCACTCAGTCCTTCAAATCAGAGCTGAAGCAGGATTTCACTTCAGTGGCACTCCCGTGTAAGCTGGGAAGGACGTGGTTTTGCCTCCTAATTTCAAGCAGGATGTCCAAAATCGTTCCTGATGCATGAAAGGGAGCATGTTTTACCTGGAGCTACTGAGACTCCAGACCACAGAGTGGCATCCATCACAACCACTTTGAGAGGTACTGCAAATTACATGAACAAGGAATGAAACCCTCGTTTCATGGGCACCAGAGTTTCTGTCACTGGCATTAATAAACTAGGATTTTACCTGGTGTGCTGACAGGATTAACTGTGTATTATCTGTTTGCATCGCCTTGATAAAAATCCCAGATTTGTTCTATTACTATGAAGTGTTTTCAGCAGTTCTGTTTTTAAATATTTTTATGAATTTCTTCAGGTAAAAAAAAAAAAGTCAAACAAAAAGGTTAACTTATCCTCTTGGCCCAGACTTCAGTTTAAATTGTTGAATTTTCTTGTTGTGGTTTGGTACTTTTCTCTCTAACAGAAAATCAGCAGAAACCTTCCTCTGAATTTCTGCCACATGTAGTTAGTTACTACTTAATAAATTTTTTATTAATTTTTACTGTGTTAGTCTGTTCCAATTTGGTAATGCTTCAGGGCTGTTAATGTATTTTTACTTTACATTACTTTAAGAAACAAAATGTCATAATTTTAATAATAATTTTTACATTTCTGACAAATATTTGATAGTGGTACTTGGCACTGTATTTCTCATAGCTGATTTTTTTTAAAAAATTGCATTTGCTATTTTAGCTTTTTGTAACAGTTTAAGACCTATGGCACACAAAGCTGACCACTAAGTATTCGCCTCAACCTGCAACTCTCGCAGGCATTCAAGATGGACAAGAGGAAAGTGAAACTGCAGTTATCTGGGGATGCTAATATAAAACACAGGTAGTTTTCTTTGCAGCTGATCAACTGTAATTCTGTGAAAATCTATAAATTTCTATATTTCTAGTCTATAAATGCTATAAATTTCACGAACTTTCTGCCATGTTCCTTGCTGTAGTCTCGCAACAGAAAACAGCTGCAAGAGCCCAGGAGAGCCCGCTGGTGACTTTGGTTGTACATACTTTTGTGTCAGTGCAACAAGAAGGGGAGCCAAACTGCTCCAACAAATGATTCTGACGTAAAGAAACAACATAGAGCAATTCTTTATTTGAATTGATCATTTTAAAGAGGCTTCACAGAATGCAATTTGGCACAGAAATTGAGCCCATCTCTCATTAAATGGCCACTATATTGTGTTTCAATGCTATGGCTATACCAAGATTTATGCATATTTTAAATTGTCATTGTTTTATAGTCATTAAAAGAATGAGGCCCATAGAGAGGGAGAAGTAAGTAAAGCTGGCAAGTGTGCAGAAAACAATGTCAGCGGATTTGGAAAATGTCAATATTTCTGGACTTCAAAGTCGGGGTTCAACTGGGCTGGGTAAGTCTTGCCTCCATTGTCCCTGGTCTCTGTATTGAGTTATGGGTTCTGCTGCAGATACAAATTTCAGAACAGACTTAAAGAAGTGGATGCATGGGAAAGCTAGCTTGACAATATCAGCTTGCTGATATTTGCCATTATTTTTAAACTGGGAGAGTGGATTGAGGCATTTGCAGGGTCAGACCCCATCAGTGCAAAAACACATGAGGAAAGAAAGATGTCTACTTACCAGATTAATTTCTGGTTAGCCATTCTGCCTTACAAGTTCAGCATCATTTCTATTTTAATATCTAGCAATTATGTAGTCACCCAAACAAGCCCCATGCAATTAATGAAGTTTAATGCCCTAACCTGTCACCGCAGTGTGTGCAAATGAAAAGAAGTTTCCCCGTGGATTATTGCATTTAGGTCTGGCTGTTCCAAGTGATATAGACTAACATTTTGTACTATTCTGATCTTTAGCTTTAAGATCTCTACTTGAAATGTTTATTTCTGCCAAGAGGGCCTTAAAAGATCCATCCAAAGCAAAATATATTCTCTGCCTTACCACGCCACACTTCAGCGAAACACCCCTGACCAAGCTTCTGTTCCAGAAACAATGAATCACGTGCAACTTCCCATGCATCTTTAGCCAATCCAACAGTTTGTGGGGTATTATTCGTAGCAATCACAGTTAAGTTAAAACACAAACCATCAGCTTTCTCTATAGGAGAGGAAATTAATAAAAAAAACACACTTATAATCCAAAATTAAGCATGCATTGAGAAAGATGGAAGGTGACTTGTCTCTCAGTGCTGCATTAAAATTCATTTGCAAACACCGATTTTTGGATACTGAAGGTGAGGACTTTTTTCGTTAGCTTGCAGAGAAAAAGGCTCCTTGGTATAATTAATAGATTACCATGTGAGCCTTGATTTATTATTAAGACAGTGGTAATTTGTCAAAATCAAAACCTTCCAAGGAAACATGGAATTTCAGTTTTCTTTTGCCATCAATTACAGTGAAAGTTGAAGATTAAAGTATTTCAAAGTCAAAGACATGTTTCCAAAGGTACTTTTCCGAACAGTTTCAGCTTTGCTTGTTTTTTCTTGTGGGTCACAATGTCCTACATTTTCACCTTCCATCTTGTAATCCCCACACAGAGAGCTATTTTAGAATAATTATTTTGCTCCATACCCATCCATACTTCCCCAAACTGCCCATTTCCCAGTCTCTTGATCAACTGTAGGGATTCTCGTGGAATTTCCCAGACATCTTTGGTTTTGACAGACAGATCAGTAAGCCTTGGCATTCCTTTATGACAGGGGACTACTAAGCGGCAGCAAAGACCTGCAGCTCTCTCTGATGGAGCCAGAAGTGAAGCCAACAGCAAAGGAGAGGAAAGAAAAAAAAGTGTGACATGAAACAAAAACAGTAAGCATAAAACAATGCTACTCACAATAGCGGTTAGTTGCATACCACAAAGCATCCTGGAAGATCAGAAATTGAACATTGAAACATATTCATTTGAGACAGAACAGGAAATATTTTAGTCTCCGTTTCCACAACCTGAAATGGAAGGTGACCACCAATGGTTTCCCTTGTGAACTCAGGATTTTCCTTCTCCCATAATGCTGCATTAAGATAACTTCATGAGTAACTGGTGTACTATAGTGCAGTATGACTTTTTAAAAATCATCTGTAAGTCCGTCACAAACTGGATTGTTTCTGAGCTGAGTAAAAGAAATACAGAGAAGATGCACTTTTTCTGAAAATCACAGCAATGAAAATTTGGTGGACTTTGTTGCTAATTTTTTTCTATGTATCCTGGGAAAAGATATTTTCTATATTCTACTTTGTGAAAAGGTTTTTTTGTAGGTGTCCTGTAAAACTTTTTCTGCCATTCTTTCTAGAGCAAACATTTATTAGCATGTGCAGTCAGTCCTACATCATTTGAGTCAGATTCATTTTATTTATCTCTTGCAAAGCTTCACAGAAGACTGAACTGTGACAAAAGTCAGAAGATATTTTAGCAGGAGTAAAAAAAAACGATATATATAAAATTATATACACACATATTGTTGTATAGTATACTATGCTGCACAAAGCAGACTACTATATAAATCTTGCACAGCAACTTGTATCTTAAAACAGGTGCAGCAGAGCACAACAAGGTGGGGAACTGCAATTGTATTTCAGACTCAAACATAACCTTTATTCTCCCATGCAAGATTTCTTTCTGGGCAGGTAAACAGTTTGTTTCAGCATCACAAGGTGGGCAAGCACCGAAGCTCCTTGCAACACCAAGCTCTACCTCCTCAGCACAAATGTTATGGGACGGTGAGGAAGTCCCTACAGACACCCTGACATGGACCTTGTTGTATCTCCTGTAGCAAGACAACAAAGACCATGAAACAGGGAAGATGAGCTGACGAGTTGACATGTCTTATTCTAAGATAATTCCAATGGGAACATTAGGAGAGGGACTACTCAAAATATGGATAGTATCTGGAAAGCTTCTTTATGAGTTTGGACAGCTGCAGAAAGAAATTGGAGGGTTTTAAGACCTCCTTGTTTTCTTTAGTTGAAAAAAAAAAGCTTGGAATGCTGGAGCTCCAGTTAAGCCTAGACTGCACGCTCGAGAGCTTATGCTTGACAGGCCGGCTGTTAGGGATTGGGTGAACGGTGCTTCAACTTCAGACGTGCTGTTACTGGACTGTAGTCTGATGTCAGGACACCCTGGGGATCTCAGTATTTTTCCTTTATAAATCTCATCTATGAAAGTCCAGACATCACAGTTAATTTTATTATCCAGGTAAGAAGGGGCTGGGATCAGAGGGAAGTCCGGCTAATAAGGGTACTGGGCAGTGCAATGGGAGTGCAGCGCAGGGATACCTGTGCTGTGTCTGCACAAGGGTACACTTTGTACTTCTAACTCCTGACCCAGGACTGCTTACATGAGACCAAACTGCACACTGTCTACCTGGGCAGCCTGGCTTCCAGCTGCCTGGACAGAGGGCATCCTCCGGCCTGGACAGCTATGGGATGAAGGCTGAAGGGTGGGCTGCAGAGCATATTGGTCCTGCTGTGAAGGCACTGACCTGTGGCTTTAGCAGTGGTTCTTCAGGAACCATTCTGATCTTTATGGAATCATTGGGCATCTTTGAGCTCTCCCTAGAAGTAAATCTAGGCACTCACAAGGGGTTGTACTAATCTACCTCTCACAATCCAGAGTGCGGAGCAGGCAGCTAGAAGCAGCCTTTACGTTTTGAGTCAGCTGGGGCTGGCATGAAATGAGGGCTTCTGTGTTCACTTGAGTCTGGGAGACCACAGGTGAAACCTCTGGAGCGTGGGTCTGTACCATGCCCTCCTGAGCTACTCTAACTGGATCCTGCTGATTATCCCTCTGTGTTGCACAGAAATGGCTATTTCCAGATCTATTTGTTTCTGCATGTGTGCATGGAAAATACACCACCCAAGTAATTTAAAAGTTGACATATACCAGCTGGTATAGTGGGGTTGAAAATGGTCTTCCTTAGATGTGAGTTTTTATACACTATTTAGCTTAGTTTAATGTAGAGTCACCAGAAACAACTAGAAATTCTCCCAGGCAGCACACACCCATCAGAAATTGGGCGGAGAAGACAGCCAGATGTCTAGTATGAATAGCAAAAGAATACAGCAGACAGAGTACAAAGAGTACAAAGAATACAGAAAAATATCCCACAGAGAAGTTTATTTCCCAAGTAAAAATTATGAAAAGTTTTTGAGTAGTGAGCATTTGAAGTCATCTGTTAATATTATGAAAAGCTAAAGTAAGGAAAAAATAAAAGGCAAGAAAATTCAAAATACAAATTTCTGCTTAAAAAATGACCATGTTGAGAAGCATGGTAATTTCCTATGTAAGAACTGGGTGTCCTATGCAGAGGTTTGGGGTGGGGATTTAAAGTTGTATCTGTTGTACACCAATTACCAGTGACAGCAGGATGCACTTTTGGGTTGAATAGTGCATACCACATTTTAATCACAGTAAAAATAAAAAAAAAAAAAAAAAAGAGCTTGGTGGGTAGACACAAACAGTGTGCATAAATAAACCCCCACTTTGCCATAGCTATTTTTAAAATTTGACTGATTATAATTTAAATGTTAATACTTTGCACTTTGAACACAAATCCAGTAGGAAAACTTGAGTCAGGTAATATACGCAAACCTTTTGGTCATTGCTTTAGGTGACCGAATTCCACAATGCGATTGCCTATTTGTTTTATTAGCGATACTGTGTTGCAAAATGGTACATATTGGCACTTGCTGATGCACAGGGAATTCATGCTTTGAGATGTGCAAGTGAAATTCAGTAATTCTGTTTGCTTAGAAGAGGGAGAGCAGGCAAAACCTTTACCTCAGCAGAGTGCTAGCTTTTAGAAGCTGTGCCGCTGTACACTGTGAATGGCACTCAAAGCCATTTATAATTGTAATGGGAAAGGGATAATGGAAGATGCATTCCAACAAGCAAGAGACATAGCTCAAATGACTCTTTAGGGCATCTTACACATACATCAGCTCAGCACCAAACACTTTTGTTTTAAAATACTTCAGAGTGCTGTGTATTATCTGAAAAATTACCTGAATAATGCTGAACCAGCTGCTGAAGAGTTTCGAATTGTGCCCGAGTTGTGATATAATATCCGCCATTGTCAAGTTTACGAATCTTATAATGTTTGACATGATCTCCTTTCATATCATCCCAGTCTCGAATAGACAGGGAATAGGCACCTGTTCCAAGCAAAGGGGAAATAAAAAGTTGTAAGTAGCTTTCAGATACAAAGATTTTCATTTGCTGGTCAGATGTTATAAAGTGAAAGAGAAATTGCTTCGAAAAAATGCTTACTGTACCTTGAAAAAGAACAAGTGAATCTAACAAAATGAAGTAAGTATCACAGAAATCTTAAGATGTTCACACCATGTCCCTTTTACACTTTTCTAGAAAGAAATCAGGACTTCCATGTAAATGAAAACTCACATTTTAACATTTACTGCTACAGGTTGTTAAATTGACTTTTCGTATTCTAAGTGTCAGGTTACACTGCAAATACTATAGGTAAATGCCAGTGGGCAGTAAATATCAAGATTTTCATAGGAATCACTGGAGATAATGACTTTATATGCGTGTAGTGTTGTTACCCAGATGGATCCCAAACTTCTTTACAAACATTAAACAACCAAATTAGCACACTTTATACGTCACAGTCTTTGGAAGGTGATACTAGACCGAAACTGTGCACCAGGAGATGTGCAAGAACTGCATGTTTCATTTTCCAAATCCATGCTGGTGCTTTAGAGCTTACTGGTGGGAATCAGATGCCCAAATACAGGAGTCAAGTGCTACATGAGATGTCCCAGGACATCCTGCTTGGCAGTTTTCCCACAGGCTGTCACATTTGTTGGATTGACGTGGATGCCCTGCAGACATTTCAAAAGGCTCTGGATGCTCATGGCCAGGTAAAGGCACCTCAGTTGAGGGGCTGGATTTAGTTTTAGGTGTAGCAGTGGCTCTCTGCAGGTGGGTTATAGGCTTGATTTAGATGCCCACACATAAGCTTCTGGTGCTATTAGGGCAGCTGAATCCCAGCCTAGTTTCTATGAGTGTTATGGCACTGTAGATATTGATGGCGTAATGCAGAGGTTTGAGCAGTAGACGTCTGCTGTCACGGGCAGCCGAACTGAAACCCAGTTTCCCGCTGACTGTAAAGGGAGCTTGGCCACCTACATGGGGATCTGCACATTCATGTCTTTTAATTTGAAGCACAGGCCTATTCTACATACAGTGACATCCATGTGTTGGTTCTCTACAGTGTCAAATGCAAAGCTGGACTTTACAGCATAATGCAGTTTCTGCGCAAAAGCATGGCCGTTTCAAAGGCAGTGGAGAAGACAAGTCTTCACTCATGGCTCAGACGAATATTGTGTTTCCTCAAAGGTAATTCAGGCATTAGAAGGAAAAAAAAATGGAGGTAACGGGCAGCTGCAGAGATCTCAGGAAGATCCTCCTTCTGGAGCCTGGCCTGCTTTCACTGGCAACCATGTCAGCTAAGGGCAGGAAAGGAAAAGCACCAGCAGATAGTTTTGTTTGACATGAAAGGTGGAGTGATTTCCTACAGGTCTGATAACAAACAGCACGAACTTCTGCTTATCCCAAGACAGGGGACTTTTCAACTGGCAGGTTCACATCCTCCAGAACCACATCCAGCTAAGTGAAATGGTTTAAAGAACCCTCACAGTAACACCATTGAGATTCCAGGTGCAACATGCCTTTCCTGGATGTCTCCCCAGGATGAAGTTTTCCTGACCGTGTTAACCTGCAACAGCTCACACTGGCAGGCAGCTCCCTGCCAAGGGAGCTGCAGTAAACAAAATGTCTCCACCCTGACTCCAAGGATTTCACAAATTCCCTGTTGTTTTTCCTCTAAATAGGAGGAAAAGAGCCAACACTTGCACAGATTATTCTGGTTTACGTGAATGGGAGACACCCTGAGAGGAGTGACAGGGTTTTTTTTCCTAAGTGTAGAAAAAATACTGTTTGCTTAGGATGTTTTTCTGAGGAGGTTCTTCTACTGAGTAAGTACACCTCTCTCAGCTAGGAGTTCAAAGCTTTCTAGGGATTTGCAAGCGTGTCTCATGCATGCTTTGTACTACCACTCTGGGTTGTACACTGTCAGCCTACTTTCAAAATTTTCTAAGCAGTGTTCTCCACCTCCGCACTTGTGAATTTTGATCCACTGGCAGCAGCTGTATTTTCTTTAGTCATGCTCCCTGCCTATCTGGTCACTATTTTAGATTCTTTAGGAAAATGTAAACAATCTGTGGCTCCAGGTCCGCCATCAGAGCCGTGTGGGTGGCCCTCTGCGGAATCCCACTGACCTCAGATCAAGTTGCAGGACTAGGGCTTTAGTTCAAATCTGGACAAAAACAAGAACCAAGATGGATTTCATTATTCATTTATTTAGCCTATTGGTTATTTATACTATTCATTATTATCTAATGATAAATTAAAATAGAAGACATATACATAATAAAAATTTGGATAGAAATACAACATTACAATATATCATATTAGTGAATTCTTTTAAAAAAACAAACCTAAAACCAGACAGCCTTGGAGGGTGGAGATTGAAACTAGGCGAAGGATTATACAGACAAGAGCTGATAAAGTACCTGGATAGTCAGGCATTGAAAAAATGAAAAGCGAGCTCCATATGATTTATTTTGGAAGTAAGAAGAGAAGGCAATCGTGATCAAGGGAGGTTAAATTCATGCTGAAGTCACCCATGATGATACTTTTAACATGATCCTGATTAATTTTATTATCGTTATTATTTAAAGCAGAAGGGATGATTCTAGGTCACAAAACAATTCCTGCCCCAAGCCTAAGACGACTAGCTAGAGTAAGGCATTTTGAGAAGACTTATGGGAGAATGCACCATGTGAGCCCTCCCAGTGAACTTTATTCTCTCTCATGAACAACAAGCTCCCTCTGTTTTCTTCTGATAGTATACTGAAACACCCCAAGGATGAGAAAGCAAATAGGCATTTTTGACAAAAACCATGTATGTTTTTTTCCAATGGGTTTGATGCAAACTTAGCCTGAAGATGTGGAAAGCCTTAGGTTCAAATGCAGAGAAATTAAACTTGCTGCTATAAGTCTGTCCATGATGCATTACTCCATTTCTCCAATGCTTTTGTGTCTCACAAGAAGCTCTAGAAAAAAGCCCTGACTTAGCTAACTAAACAGCCCTGAAAAACATATCCCTGTATCACTGTATAAAAAAATGGTCAAAACAGACTAAACTGATAATGTGCTTTAGAGAAAAAGTATTGTGTTTGTTTTTAGGATACATGGAGGCCTATATGAGAGAGTTTTTAAACTCAGCACAGAGTGGAATGAAGTCCTGCTCCTCACACACATCATGACAACTGTTGGTGAAAACAAACAGGTGGAGGCTATTTGCAGAAAAAGAGCAAGTTAGAGCCTGTCTTGCTCCTGGTGAGAATGCCTCACTGCTACATAAGGTATGGTGAAGCTGCGGAGTGACAAGATGGGAAATGAGCTGTCTGAAACAACTGTATGTCTATTCAGGTTTTGCATCAGAAATGGTCTTTAGAGTTACGGGCAGCGAAGGAAAAATCCAGCGGCTGCAGCAGTCAAAAATATAGACCGTACAATTTTAGATGACAGAATGCAGCATCTGAAGAGAGGTCCAGTAGAGAGCAGAGGGAAGCAGTGCTTCTCTTCTTTAAACCCCTTTACGAGCCGTGACTCCAACCACTTCACATGCTAACTCTAACTGACAGAGTGTGCTCTGATCAAAGCACTGACAAGGCAGTGCTTTAATTACATGAACCACCATTAGACTTCAGAACTTACATGGAATTAATTCTAGTGACTTATGCTTCCCACAGCTATTGTTTTGGATTGCTGGTTAATTGAGAAATGGCCAGGTTTGTTTCCACTTAGTTGAAGGTTTTCTCCTCAATAGTTGCATGAGTTAGAGAGATCTTTTCATACGTGTGAAGCTTTGAAGAAGATGTTGACAGGCCTCATGAACAAAATGTAAAAGCAAAGATAGCACTCACCAAGAAAATTGGAACTCCTCCAATATTTTTAGAGGGAAGGAGGAGAATACATCCTTCCACTTGACTTCAACAGAATGGATAGCTGAATACTTTATGAATATATTAATTAGAAATATTTTCAAGTCCTTTTACTGCTAATTTATGAATTTAAAACTGCTACATCTTTTTTTTTTTTTTTTCTTTCTCTCCAGGGATCCAAAGGGGAAAGGCCAAAAAATCCCCTAATCTTGCCAAAATAATAAACCGTACCTCCCCACTACATCTTATCTCACATCTTCCAGGCAAGAAGGTTCAAATATGCTGCTTGTTCAGAAGTAAGCAGTAATTTTCACCAAATTAAACTGGAGATTCCCAGCATCCATTCACAGTAAGCCATGTCTGGACGTGAATATGGACACCAGAACGTCTGCGTCCTGTAGCCCCATAGCTGCTGTTCTGAGGGGCTACTCTCCACCCAACTCCATTGCAATAGTAGTATCCTCAACACATGTGTTGAGAGAGGCAGTGTGATGTTCAGAGTGTGACAACAGAGCACCTTGCCTATGCATGACTTAGAGGTTGTGAAGTCTCCTTCTCTGGAGATGTTCAAAACCCGCCTGGAAACGTTCTTGTGTGATCTGATCTAGGTGGTCCTGCTCTGGCAGGTGGATTGGACTAGATGATCCTTTGAGGTCCCTTCTAATCCCTAACATTCTGCGATTCTGTGATTCTGTGTCTTGCACTGCAGATACCATGAGTTGAACTTGGCATGGGTTGCACTTGGGTTGTTCTCTGCTTTGAACACTCACTCTAAGACCCGGGATATCCAGACATCTGATTCCTTAGCACACATGTATGCAAGATGACATTCATCTCTACCTTCATACCACTGAAAACAATATTTCACAAACTTAGCACAATTTTTCTCATATATCATCTTATTCATAGTCAGAATAGCTTTGGCCAGCCTACCTTTGGTAGTTTCACTTTCCCGGATCAGGAAGGTACCTCTGGGGTTTCCAAATGACAACAGCTGCCTCTCAGCATCTTTTCGGCCAAGTTTGCCGAAGTACCACCTTATGGAAACATCAAAAATAGTAAGACAAATGCTACATAGGATTACTACATAGTGTCACAGAGCTGAGACATGGAGGATTATATTTGTGGAAACTGATTACTCAAGTATATTCAACAATTTTTGTCTCTTTTATTGTGGTGAAAGGTAATGTGACAAGCTGTGTAGTAGATGTATATATTGTGGAGTAGCACTTTGCATTAAGCCTATAATCAGTAGATGCTGAGAATGCTTGTTTGGTGTCTTATGGCAAAGGTCAAACTTTGGCAAACAGAGAGCAAGACTTGGTGGGGGGAAAGGATAGACAAGGAAAAGGGCAGAAAAATGTGTCGCTGCTGAAGAGCAGTTATTTTACAGATGTTGCTACGGACTACATATTTGACTTACATAGTGATGTATTAGTATTCAATATTTTTGTTGCAGCACAGCTATAAAATTTCAGTAGAAGGACCAGATGTAACCACTTCACTGTGGTTGTATAAGGCTTTCAGAGTTTCAGTACCTTTTTCCTTCCTGCAGCAATTTTTTTATTTTGGTTTCATAATCAACCAAATACAATCTTAAGTACAGACTACGGTAGTACCTGCTCAGCTATACAAGCTCCTCCAGTGTATCTTTTATACTGGAAATGTTATGGATACACACAGCACTCCACTTTTCACATTGATATGTCCTCGTTATACTGCCTGCTGTATGTGTTGTATGCATCCTACCTATTCGTAGGTATTTTTCGTTACAGTGTGCCCTCTTAATTAGACAGTTTGCACACTAATTGACTCCAAATATTTTTACAAGTTGGTTCAGGAAAAGTAAGGGCACTTTTCACTTAAAGTTTGAAATTGGTCGACACTTGAATAAAGGAAGCAGACCTATGCTTCTTTAGGTTTTCTTCCTTTGTTTTGACATTGAAAAAGTACTGAGCTTGTGCTTCTTTTGTTACTAATTACCTAATTATTTATCAGTGCAGTTAAGAACTGAAATAAAAATAATGTAAGTCATTTGAAAAATTGCTGCAATCAATCAAAACCAACTCCTCAAACCTCCTTCAAATACAGCACTAATGGGTCTTTACAATGAAAAGAAAACATACTCCTCTGCTTGGATGGAATCGACTGGAGCCACATAATTACTGGGAATGTAACCAGTTTCTCCTGTTGTCAAGGACCGGGCCTCCCACCAGTCTCCTTCCCTGCAGAAACAGAGGTGAGGAAGAGAAGTGAGAGAGAGACACAGCTGTAAAGACAATGATCTGACTTTGCTAACAGCACCCGCAGCTGCGCGGCATAAGAGGCCACAGTAACTCATCTATCACCAGAGTGCTTCCGAGAGAGCTGCTTGCATCTAAACCCAAATAATATCCAGATTTCTTTACACCTATTATTATTTCAGCAGTGATTAGTAATGTAGCCTTCCAAATATAGCATAATGGCATAAACAGGCATAACAACACAGTGAAATCAGATTTGGTGATGGCTGGATTTGGCCTACAGTATTGAAAACTGTCTCCATAACAATTATTCTAATACAGACCCTTGAGAGAGCTTGTAGAAAAACTGCCAAACTGAACACTGCCACATCCACTGCTAATTTTAAGCTTCTATGGGCATAATTAATCTGAAACCCAAAGGCATTAAAAAGCCATCTATCAACATGGAGTTTTAGATAGCCCTTAAGGATCACACTTCGTTGTCTAGATTCCCTCTCTTGGTCACCTAGAGGAGGTCTCTGAAGTAGCAAAAGACTTAGCTGTGTTTTCAAGTACTTACAAAATTCCATTCTTCTACAACATTTAAGTATGAAGAGGTCCATGCAGGACCATTTTATGGCAGAATTCCACAGGCTTAGCATCAATTTTTGTCATATACGTGTGTGTACATGGTACTGCCGTTCAGACAATGCACGTTGCTGTAGAACGTGCAGCTTTAAGAGAAGTTTATTTCTCAGCTTTTTACAGGATGCAATGATTTGAGATTTAGCAATTTGTATTTCACTCTCAGCACCAGATTCACTGATGTTTAACTCCTACCGCTGCTAATAAACATTCTCTTTTCTATTTCTGCTTAGAAACTTCTTCTCAGTTCCCCTCTCTGTAAAATAGAGATTTGTTCACTAAATAAAACACTATTATTGAATGAGGCCAGAGAATTCAGCCTTTTCTGTAAGCAAGCAGTTACAGAAAACGCATTGTCTAAGCTATTACTGGCAAAAACGGTTACATCAAGGTGAGCTTGTACTTTAGATTTTCATCTCCACTTTAACAGTTTGAAAGAGTACAACCCCTATGGAAAACAACTAGAAAACAGCTGTGATTAGTCAAAAAGGAGATGTTTCCAATTCTACAGTTCAAAAAAGTGAAGAACAAGTAGCTTTTCTAGAGGCTGGCAGCTGACACTATTTTAATACACCTTGTGTGCATTAGCGTGCCAGGCAAGTGGCCCTATCTGTTTACATCCCTAATTTTATCAGCTGAAGCACTAACCCTTCCCCCATATGCTGCTGTAGAATATTTCTGAGAGATTATGCCGTACTGCGGTTGATAAATCGTACCATTATGTTTCTTCTCCTTACTGTACAGAGAGTCCACTAGATGGAGGTATTTTATCATATCTAGGGAGGAAAAAAGCAGTCCTGTAGAGGATCACATCAGGAACAACCCCCTTGGCTTTGACAGAGGAGCTTAAATCTCCCAAAGCACTGCCAGAAAGAAGGAGGAGGAAAACAGACTTTTTTCACAGCTCTTCATTTTAAACACCCAGCTGAGGTAGGAGGAGGGTAGTCAACGGGGCTAGTAGCTGGGGTGTGCGGGAGTGGCGGTGGGGATGCTGGGGATGGCTGAGTGTTTCTAAGCCCCGAAGTCGGGCTCTGCTCTGAACCACCCCTGCAGGTACTTCTTTCCCCCAGACTGCCCTTGGTACCGTTTCTGACTGCAAATCACCCTCTGTACGCCACTTCAGGTATTGCTATTCCGAACTTTTAATCCAAAGCACAAATTGAATTTCATTTGTTGAGAGCTAAAAAAAAAAATAAATCCAAACCCCTCCAAAAATTCCAGACAAACTAGTTCTGTGCATGCATATGCTTTCTGGTTGTAAGCAGCATTGAGGGACTCTTAAAAAAATGGGCTTCTTTCTTATAATTTCTGATATAAGTGAAGAGAGGAAGCATTCTCATAGAAAAGCTGCTTTCCGGAGATTCCCAGCCCGGCTGTCACTACTCCAAGAGTGTGGTTAGATTCGTGTTTATAAGCAGACAGAGCTGACTACGATGGGAACTGAGCTTCTATAATCCTACAGGAAAGTCAGTGGATACTTGTGTTTTTATTTTCTTTCTCTTAGAAAACCTTTCTCCAGGCAGTAATTACAACCACCCACACGTGGAGGAATCTCTCCTTGCTCCGCAAGTCCTGGTGAGCACCCCCTGATTTAATCAACTGGTGCATATAAGGAATTTATAATGCGTGGGATTTATTCTTGCTTCAAGTTATGGCATAGGAAAGCAGCAGGCAACATGAACAAAAATGGATGATCGGTTAAAAAGGTTTTTTTTTCCAAGTACTAATTCAGAAGCAGAGAGGTTTTTAAACTGCTGCTCCCTCTACAAGTCGTAACTGAAGTTTCTGTGCTTTCATCTACATCAAAGCTCTCTAGCTTCATGGCTTCATAAAATATTCCACAGAATTACCTGATTTTAATTTTTTTTCAACTTTACTGCACATTGAGCCCACTCCAACCCTGGAGTTTTCTATTAAAATTGACAGGAGTTGCACCAGGGATGAATTTGCCTCGCTGTCACATAGTGTAAGAAAAAAAAATGAAAGCAATATCACAAAGCCTCTAGAAAGTGACATACTTGGTTGTTAACCCATTTTTACCTCTACATGATAGCAATACTGAACGTAACACAGAGCCGTCAACTTTATGTTCTTAGCCAAGAATTACAAGATGTTCAGATATAGGTCAGTAGCACAGTAACTTTTAGATGCCATTTTTAAACTGCTTTTTTTTTTTCCTGTGGGAAGTTAATAAAATTAATTCTAAGTTGACGATTTCCAGGATGAAACTGTGGTTTTCATGCCAAACTCAACTGTATGGTGGTGCATTCTCACTTAATGGAACTTGTAGCATGTTCTGACTGTATCACCTACCTTTAAAAGGAAAAAAATATCTTTTAAATTTGGCATGCAAGTCTGGGTAACATTTCTTTTGTGAATCAGTTTTTAGCTCATTTCTGTGTAGAGATACTTGCAGGAGATTGCAAAAAGTGTTAGTACATGCCTTGCAGAACTTCTGTGGCTACTGGTAAAGTACAGAGCTGGTACTCTCAGTTTTGAATGTGAGTTTACTGTGAAATGTAAGCAGCAAACCACACAATCTACCACTTATTTTTGAAATAAAGCTTCATATGGTTGAAGTTTTTTTTTCAATAATGAAGCGTTTTGCAAAAGTGCACTAAACGTGAAGACAAGTAAGTAAACATAGAGTAAAACCCCTACATATCTTGAATATACAACATTAGATTTTACTAATAACATAAGCATACGAATATAATTGTCAACATTATAAGTTTAAAAATATTAAAAAGCATATTCTCAAGCCTAAAACTTACGAGCTGTTAAGTATTTGAAATTTTTCTCCTTTGTGAAAACTCAAGTCATCTTCTGTTCTTGCTTCATAGTCATAAAGCGCCACAAAAAGAGTTACACCTAAAGAAGAAGATAGGTGAGTTACGCTCCATCACAAAAAACAAGAGGGAAAGGAGCCTCAAGAAATGAGGTGGCTAAGACAAATGCAAGCAACTCTGGTTGCTGAGGAGCAAAATAAATGGAAGCTTCCTGCTTTTTGGACGACCATTCTAATCCCTCTGCTTTTATGCAGACAGTGGGCACGCCACCTCCTTCACTCTGTGCAGTCATCAGTATTCTTGGTTTGGTACTCACACACAGTGTAAGATCCCAAGCAGGCAAAGGGGGTTTGAAGTGAGAGTTTAGACGTAGTCATGCCAAGTATTTCTTTTTAACTAATTGAGGTGGCTCAGATCACGTTTTCTGTTCCCTAGCAGAGGGATGAGGCAGTCAGCCCAATTAGGCATGTATACGTAATATACATTAGGCATGTATTCTCACCCCCCAAAGTGAACTAGCACCTGCAAGTTAGTGAAGGTAGGGCTGAAGGCTGAAGACTCTCCTCCACCCCTACTTAAATTCTTTGCACTATTTCGTGAAATAACTCTTCCCAAAAGCAGCGTGTTGAGACAGTTGTGCCTCTGCTGTAATTACGTGAGTGGCGCTAAAAGAGCACCGAAAGAAGACTTTGAAACTCACCTGTTCCTCCTCTGGTACGCAGTGTCCCTGTATGAGAGGAGGAATTGACTCCACCAAACACAGTCAGTCCTTGGCCTCCTGTGGCATGGAAGTTGTTGTAGTTTGGGATTGAAGTCACACCAAAGCTAGGATAGTGCTGCGGAGTAGGATCTGTCCCATAGCGGTAGCCTGAGCTTTGAGTTAAACTGCCATCCCTCTCGTCAGTCAGTTTTGTTGCTTCTTTATCCTTACATTGCACACAGCCCATTATCTAAAATCCTAGGAGAGGAAAGAAAAGACGCACAGATGATGAGGATCAAATTAATTTCATCGTTTGGAAGGCGAGTACTTTGAGAAAAAAACCAAGAGGTTTGAATATAAGCAGCAAGACATTGGGAAAAGCTCACACAAAATCTTCCTTGCAGTGGTTTCCCGCCGGGGCCTGGGGAAGGAGGTCTTGCCTGCTCTTACAGTGATGGCAGCCTTTGGCCCAACCGTGCTCTTTGCCAGGAGGGTACAACTGGCAGGAAAAGGCCACAGCCAAAACGTGCAGCTGGACATGTCCAAGTCTGCCTCCAAAACACAGAGCAAGGTACTTCGCTCACAGTTCATGTTTGACCTTGCCAACTACACAAGAGCTGACTTCGCCTAAAGGCAAATTATAACCTTTTTCCATTACTGGAGCTCTGCGTGACAGGTAGAAAAGCAGACACAATGACCCGATAGTTATTACAGCACAGGAAAGTAGGAGGGAGCTATCAGATGGCATAACTAAAACAAAAGGAAGCTCCCTGTTATGCAGCACTGAATTGAAGGGTAAAACCTGCTGGTAGTAGACGATGAGGCTGCCAGAGATATACATGAGTTAAGAAACTAGAGAAAGTCCATGAAGAATTAACATGTCAAATGCAGAGCATCTCAAAATCCAGATCCCGGACAGGAGGAAACTGAAAGGATATAGCTTGGAAAAGGTTGCTCTTAAGTTTTTTAATTCCTGTAACGTTTTGTTCAGCTCCTTTATGGGGCACTACCAGCACCTGGCTTAACCTCACTTAACTTTAGGTGCCTACTTCTCTCTAGGTGGAGGGAGACAGAGGGTGATTCGCCACATCTTAGAAGCAGCCCTGCAAAGTTAGTCCTTTTACCTGATATTGCTTTTCATCCGTGAGCTCTAACATCTTATAATCCATGTGCTGATGTTACTGAACTCTTTCCTATTTCCTCGAGCTGAATATAGACACAAAGCTCAAGTTTCTGAAGCTGGGTGTGATGAATCTAGGGAATCAGATACTCATCTACATGCACCCTTGATCTGAACCAGTATGGTGACTCTTGGATGTAACCTGGCCCACAAACAACATACTCTAAACATTGGGGCTGCAAGAAGAACAGTGACAATAGAAAAATCTTAAAAAGTTAGACTTACTAGACATACTTCGTCCAGAATATAGAAATAGACAGGGAGAAAACGCAGAGAACAGAAACAAAGTGTGGTGAAACACATTTCCCCCCACCACATTTCTTTTCACATTTCAGCCAATATCTGTGACTTAGAGCAAATAAAAAGCCTATCCTTTTTCAAATATCCTCATTTTCTGTAGCTGCCAGGCCAGCTATTTTGTATGCCTTACCCTAACATCAACACAGGAAATTGTTTTTGACAAATTCATAGGATTCAGAAAAAGCATATTCCTCTGCTGCTAATACTTGAAAAATTATGCAGCAGCTCCCTGCTTGTCTGTGACACTCCACAGTCTAGATACCTCCTTCCTAAATCTAACCTGCTTTATTACAAAAAACCTCCTGTTGCAGGATATTTTCTACAATTTGAAGATACTTCCAGTTATATTAGAAACCTGTTCAGAACAACAGGCACCATTTTATTCTATTTCCCTGAGCTGTATTGCCTGCAGTTAGGCTAGGTCTTCTATCTCTTGCTCTTAGCTTAACTTACAGGTGCCCTTTATGCATTTTGTTTCCTTCAAGACACCACATCCACTCAGCAGAATTCCCTCACCAAAATGTTCAAGTCTCTTCACACGAACAGAAAAAAGGACTCCTGACTCTGCACTTGCTGCAACAGGTGGCATGAGCTGGGATTCCTCAAGAAACTAAAGCGACAAGATTGAGGAAAAGGGATTTGCAGCCTGGGAGCTGTGAAACACACTGCTGCTGCTACTGCTGCAGCAGCTGCGCCGGCCTCCAGCCTCCTGCTCCTACCTGCTAGCTGGGTAGGTGCCAGAGGTGCCTGGAAGTGTGCTGAGGCTCGAGGTTGTCCATCTCCAGGACCAGCAGTGACTCCAAGTGAGCCCACAGGGACCATGACGGGTGTAAAAGTGCCCTAGCCAGCTTTCCATCAGCTGTGAAAAACTGCTTGCAGAGATATCTCTGCTGCTTTTATCCATTTCAACAGCAGGATGGTCTGGCTCTGGAGACTCTCTGCGTGGAGATGTCACTCAGAGGTGAGGTTTTTCTGGCTCCTCTCAGAGCCAAGGGATCCCACAAGTCCCAGGAGCAAAGCAGGACCACAGGGAGGGCAAGGGCTCCATGGGGCGATGGCTCGTCTCACCGCTACCAGGACGGGCAGAGCCCAGGGAGGCTTAGGGTGGGAGGGATGGGTCTGGGACTCACTGCTCGGACCCTGCTACATCTCTGTGAAAGCGTGCCTCCAGGGCGTGGAGAGCAAAACATGGGCAGCAGGAAAACTTTGCATGGGAGATGCCATGATGGAAATCCCAGCTGGAGAGAAAGGGCAGAGAGAGGCACCAATCACCTGCACAGGGAGGAGTGAGCCATCAAAGAGGACAGGTTAAAAGGTGCAAGTGCTGGAACATATGCATATTCACCTCAAAACAGTTAAGTGATATGCAGGGTATACTACTAAAGAAGAATCTCAGCAGCGTTTTTGTTGGCTTGCAAACTTACCTCCCTGTGAAACTCTACTGCCCCCTCCCTTTCCCCTCCCAGCTCTGTTTCTCCTCTTATTGTTTCCCATGTGTTTTGACAGGAAAAAGTAGAAAAGCAAATGAAAAAATGAAAGAAAAAAAGAGATGGGAAACATGAAATCTGGGAGAGTGGTGGTGGGGGAAAAGGGGTTTTCTTGTTGCTCATTCACAAACATTCAGCTGAGCAGGGAAAAAAATCTCCACTGAAATCTGGGAAGATTTCACATACCAATTTAGAAGTGCTGACAAGACAGCCCTACACACTTCATTTACACATTGATGAGGAAAAAGTTAAAAAGACAAATCAGCTGCAAAAATAAAATTGTTCAACGTATTAGTTCTGAAAAATGTGACTAAACCAGGAGATGGTATACATATGTACTAGTAGTTGCAGAAAAATAATAGTTTGAGGTTTTCTTTTTACTAGGAATGATATGAATAGAAAACCAGCAAATTATCAGTTTCTTGATTTTTGTTTGGGTTTTGCTCCCTTTATGTTTTTTTCTGGCAATGGCAGCACATAGGGAAGGAGAATTTGATGCAAAGTGACTGACTCAAAAAAAGGTTTTTTTCTTTCACTTGCCCTCTCCCTCTTTGTCACAGCGTCTAGACAATCCGAGCATAAAGACTGCTTGATTGCAGCCTCTTGTAAAATGTGACAGAGGGTGTTACATGCACGCATCTTTTCAAGCCAAGGCCCTGAAAGTTGTCCCTGGCTCAAAGAAACCAGCATCACAGGAAGCTGGCTAAATGTGAGAGAATACATGTATGCATGTGCATGCTTACAGTGATTTCAGCTAACTCAGGGGTTTCAGAGACAATAAATATAACCTCCATTCAGCATAGGCTTTTGTGTCAATGAATGGATTCCAAAAACTAATCTCCTTCAGTATCACAGAGCAGGGTTTTAATATCCGAAAGTCTCATCTTCCTGCACGTCAGCATTTGGAAGGCTGGAGTTATTTAGCCAGCTCTGAGATCACCAAAGAAAATCTGGAGCTGTTTTACACTAAACTCTCTAGAGACGAGCACATAACATTGTTCATCCAACATGCTGCGCAACTTACAGTAAAGGAACAAGATTTTATTCCATTTCCACTAGGAAAGGCAGCATTTCTCAGATGTGTGAGTTATGGGTCACGCAGCATTATCATAATTTGACACTGGTATTGTTAAAAGGTACATAACCAGCCTAATTAAAACAAACTTTTCTAATGCAAGCAAGTTGAATTTGTTTATTTTAAAGTTGTGTTTTTGTGGGCAATATAAAATGTGTTTTTATGAAAACATAAAACATTTGCATGGGTTTTGAGACTTCCTTAGAGACAAATGAAAATAACCATTACGTTATTTGTCTCCTTTCTTGTCCTTGTATTTCTTGGACTCTTAACAGTTACATTGCAAGCAATCCAACAACAGCTTAACCAGAATAGCAATTTTCTCCCACACGGTGGAAACGTTATTCGACAAAGATATAAAATTAATTATATTGTTATTAATTATTTATATAGTCATAGGACCTTACTTACTTTCAATTAGGAAACAGATGAAGGCTAAGGAGATATTATTAACACTATTATTATTATCGTAAATCATCCTTTTTGAGTTTTTCTGTTGATTCTTGATACAAAATAGAAGCCAAGACTGAAACATCCACCAAAGCCAGACATCTACTCCATTAATAGAAATGAAAGCAGTCCTCTGTTAGCTAATCAAAGCCTAGGAAAAGTACCTAGGAGTACCAGGAAAACTCAATTTTTCATACTTCTATTTTAAAACTAAAAGCTCCAACATATGATATTTGAAAAGCAAAAAGTATTGATAAGCTTCTGCTTAGTCTAGCTTCTGCAGCTGCAAACCATCAGGAAAAGATGGATGGGAGGAAGACTGGTATAAATGCACTCATTCATAGCAACAGAAGTTTTTCCATAAGATTATGCAACTTGCAGCTGAAACTCTGAATTATAGTACCGCTTCAGAACATGGTTTTTTGGGTGTTGTTAGTCATTAAAATGTTTGAGAGCAGGATACAGGGAGATGTAGGGAA